ACTGCATCATTCTCATTTTATTGCATCCTGTCTTTTAGTTGGCTAATCAGTGTCTCGATCATAATCTATTCTTCATTTTTCCATTCAGAACTCTAAGGGTACTCAAGTACTGAAAATAGTACAGTACAAACAGAGAATCCCAGCTCCAAAAATACAAGCCAACGTCTTCCATGGATGTAAATTGACAGAAGCCTGTTGAACAAAATGCTTACCCTGTAAGAGATTTTTCAGTCCAGGAAGTAATTCACTGTAAGGCAATGGTGTCTGGCTCCTTCCAAACAAAATCATTTATACAATTGCACTGAATATACACTACTTTTTCAGACAGGGTAAACAGAATGATAGGACACCAGAAGGTTTATTCACAAAGTGTCTGTTCTCTGTCCAGCTGTACTTTCTTTGCAGGCTGATCTCTAAGGACATTTATGCTGTATGATCCAACACATCATCATATCATATCTGGGAACAGCATTAGCAGTGATCCCTATATACTGTTTCACCATTTGCAAGTGCTGAAATGACTGACACCCTGCATGTGTTTTTAGATCAGATTTTTGCACCATGAACCAGTGGGCAAACACATTTAGCTGTACTACATTACACAAGCCATAGAGCAGATTAATGGGACAAATTTGGCAAGAAGTTGTGTATAAAAGGCTTGTTTCTTAAACTAGAATGTTAATTTGTTGAAACTCTAACAATGCAGTTTGACTGTGACTTTCTCTACTCAGAGATATCATCTGTACATAACTAGGGTTATTTTTTATGTAATATTTCACCCCTTTTTGTCGTATCATTGGTATTAATTTGTCTGTCTCTGTGAAAATACTTTAGATATTCTGGGCTTGTCACCATTTCGTTACAGGCACATAAAAGCCCCCTGGGAACATCTGAGAGGCTCTTTCTTTTCTACTTCATTTCTGCTTGTTTGAAGACATAAGGGAGCATAGCTCAATTTTCAAGAAAAATGAAAAAGGAAATTTGTGAAAAGGACCAAGCTTGCATTCCTAAATTATTTATTTGTGACTGGCAAAGGTGAACTTTTGAGATTCAGTGATGCTGAGTCACATGGGAATGAACTATGTCACTTCCCACATACGCTCCTTCTCCTCATGTAGAGGTAGCTTATAATCTTCATAGTTGTTTTTATCTGTGATCAAAACAGAGGGGAAAATAAGAATGTAGGAAAACAGGAAAGCAAAAAACCCTTTTTTATGTTTCTTTAAGCCTATTACATGTATTTCTGGTGTTTGCATAAGCCTTCTTGCACTTTTAAAGATATGTAAGTTTGAGAATTAGAATATATCTATTTTCATTATTGCTTCAGTTATTTTATATCCAACATTCCAGTTGTTTTCTGTTGGTGCTCAGAAACAAACTAAAATGTTCTCTGCAAAGTCTGATGATGCCAAATCCATCAGGTTTTCATTAAACCAAACAAATTCAAGAGTTTAATCATCACTTAAAGTGATTCATTCCATTACAAAAAGAAACTCTGAGCCTCCAAATTCAGAATCTTTTGCTTTGCTCAAGTTACAAAGGTGTACCTACTTTCTAAAATTCAGTCTTATAACACATCTGGTTGTTTTTTCCTCTCTTTTTACATAATGCAGATCTTTGAAATATCTTTAAGGTAAGAATTACATCTTTGATTTTTATCTGGTGTAAAGGCACATTAACAAATACCATAATCATCGCAGAACATTTTTATGTCCTCCTGCAGTCTGTAGTAATAAAGTGGTCTTTCTGCCTCGAAGGATCTGGCAGCTCTTCCACTCCTGTCTTCGAGGCTTCCCTTTACAAGGACCACTCTTCAGCGGTGCTGAGTGAGGCATGACCTTGTCAGACCAGCCCCATACATTTACTATATAAAGCAGCTAGAGTTCCAAAAACATCAGATCCATTTCAGCACAAAGTACAGCAGCTTCTCCAGTACATATTTATTTGTTTAAATTAATACAATACCTCGTACATGCTTTTACTGTTGAGATATAAAGCCAGAAGCTGAATATTCACAGATATTTGGTCTATTTTTTGAGCTGGGGCTTTGAATAGGAACACAGCATTCTACGCAAAATAAATATACATCACTTTATTTGCAAAATCTGTTAGAAGTACAAAATGTTAGCTCTGTTACATCTTGTTCAGCTAAGCAGACATGACATTTTCCAAACTGTTAATAATTATTAAAAACTTCTTGGGACAATAAATACAGTACTTATATTACTTCTTAACTGTACACTCATACTAGCAGAGTCCAGCAGCACCATATGAAGAGAGAAATAGGAGAATAGCTAGTAGATCAACAGAGAGTTGTAAAAAGGTGGGTGCAGTAGCATTACCTGGTCTTTCCAGCAACTTGTTTTACAGAACACAGCATAAGATAAACTTCCATTATAACATCGTGTTTTATCCTTTGAGCTGCTGAACACAGAACACCTGTCTTTGTATTTACAGGCTGGAGGCTGTCCTCAGCCAGGGAGAACTCAGGTTAACAAGATGGCTGAGACCTGGTAGCTAGACACAAACCAGTTTGTTCCTTGGTTACCTACAACTTCACCTTCCCAGTGAATACGTTGTCTTCACCCAGTTTTTTACTTTTCATCCGCATGTACTCTGTTTTGTACAGTGTCTTGCAGAATTCTCCCTGCTGACCTTAACAGCAGACAAGCCTCTTAATGTAATAAACCACCTGCATTCACTTGCCCATACTCATTATGGTGTGGCCTATTTGCCTCTCCTCAACATGTCTTCTTGAGGCATCTAATTTTATTATGAGTTTGGAAAGCATCTTGGTTGTATGAATTTGTGGCCACTCTTATTTGCTCTGGTGCTCTTCAAGAGGATGAAATTAGGCTTCTTACAATAATACACAGAAAGAGTATGGGTGTGATTTAATACAGAAGTGGTAAAGATCGGGCTTTAATTCTATGTGTTACCACAAGCTGAACACCCAAATAGCAGAGAAGGGTCAGTCAAATACCTTTTTTCTACAAAATAGCAAGAAGAAGGTAGATAGATTAGGAAGGAGGAAAAAGAAAAAGAAAATATATCCCCTAAGGTCCAGGACACAGTACTTCTGAACCTCTATTCAAAGCATAACAAGGAAGCTAATCTCTCAAAAATTAGAAATGGGAAATAACTTCATTATGAGAGCAAATTTCTATAAAGCATTTTCAAAGCTATTAAAAAGCAAAGGCTGTTACTGTCTGTTCCCAAAACGGTGCCAATGTAAATAGCGTGAAAATAACTTATGTTTGAAAAGCAAGGTGCTTCACAATGAAGACTGTTATTTCACTTTTAATTTGTCCCTTGGGGCCTCTTTTAACAAGTGTCTTAGACCCAGCTGCATTATGTTCTGCAGTAAGAAGGACTATCATCTCCTAACCTTTTTGCTTGGGTCACTTGGCACTGTCTCCTTATCTTAGTAATAGTTTTGTTTGTAATTCCTCTGACTGGTGGCTTAATGATTTTAGATGAGTTCTTTACTACTCTAACATGAATTAGCCTCGGGTGTTTGTGAATTAGTTTTGTGTGACTATGTGACTGGGCACAGTCTCAAGGATTCATTGTAATGGAATATTCTCTGCTTTCTAGGAAGAATGAAAGAAAATGAATTCACATTACAAATTATTCCCAAATAGCATTGCCATTCTGGGGGTCTCTACTCCTTTCCACCTGTCTGTATGTGGCTGGCAGTTGGTTTTGCTCCAATAAGAAGCAGGATTGTAGAAGTGGGTAATTTGGCTGCAGTGACAATGTGGTTGAAAGTGTTTGGGTTTACAGACAATCCAGACAATCCAGAACCCTTTGCAGTGATTTCCTTTCCTAATGACGTGTCTGGCACTTTCCCTTATGAAGTCTGTAAGGGAACTCTGAATTGTACACATACTTCCAGCAGACATCAGGTTTGTGGTTATGCTATCTACTGGGAGCTGAGCTCTGCTGAAAAGGTTTCCTCTGCTCTGCTTACCTGGAGTGCTTTTGGTATGTAACATTTGTCTCTTTCATTATAGGGTTGGTCTAGCTGCATCATAACACTCTCCAATGCATAGACAACAGAGCTTTACAATGCAAAGGCTGCATGTCTTTACCTACCACAAAAGCGAAGGGAACTGCTAAGTTCATTTACATGCACACCATTCTAGAAATTACAACCAGGCTCCTGATTCTCTGCGTATTCTTATTATAGAAACTAATATGCCTGCAAAGGTGGAGTGGACTGATCTTGGATCATGAATATCTAGAAACTACACTACTTTGAGAGTGACATTTCTAAGAGTCAGAGGCTCCCAGATCTTGGCAGTACGCACTCTCAAATAGGAGCTTTTGTCTGACAGAGACAAGATATTGCCAAGAAGGTAACCAAAGGACTTGTTCCTATTTCTAACAGGCACTCTCCTAAACCATGCTGAATTTGTATGATAAAACAATTCATCACTGAAAAAATATGGATATGCATCTCTGAATTACACCTTATTTTGAAAGATATTAATTCTAGGCCTAACATGACCTATATTCCACTTCAATTTGGCATACCCTGTATGCCAGCTGTAGAGTTCATTACATTTTAGAAGAGTCACTTGCATCTTACAGCTTCTTTTATCAACAGCTTTTCTGCTCTTCAGAATCTTTATTATACTGTGCTTGAGCCATGAAAATTGAAACTGCCTTCTGCAGCCTCAGACTACACAAACCCAGTTTTATATGATCATTAAGGGCTGCTGCCCTGTGAACACTGATTAACTGGTAGGTATGAGAATCATCAGTTCTGAAAGGTGAGTGGTTTCTAATAATGGCAGAGAGTTGCAGCTACATGACTTTAGCCTTAGGGAGTCACAAGTCTATGATTATATTTAATTATAACTTGCTATGTATTAAGTGTAATTCAAATCAAGACAGGTAAGTGAAGAAGGCAATCATATTTGGATACGATGTACCACCTATATGGATTTAAACCATTTGAGTGGGAATGTCAGAATGACATAGGACTAATTAAATGACGTATTAAATCTTTATTTCCTTATAAGCAATAGGGTGGAGTGGGGCTGTTTGTAGTCTACTTTGAAGATGCAGTAATCAATGGGCTGATCAAATTATTCATGCAATTAATGGAATGTGCTTAAGGGAATTGTGGTTTCTTAGCATCTGTTATGAGAATCAAAAGAATGAAAAGTTGTGAATGACTCAGTAAAAACAGCATGAGTGGAATTCTTCTGAAAGGCCTGGAGGTTACTGGTCAAACCGTGTTGATAAAGGAAAAATTTCTTACTTGGTAAAGAGGAAATACAAAAACAATTTTCCTCTGTGATGTGCTGCTTTCCCTATAAGGGCTCTTTTTTTTTTTTTTTTGCCATATCTTCTAAAATAAAATCTGCTCAGACCTGTCTATTTCAAAATCAGCCTTGCTAGCCAAGACAAACTGAAGAGATAAATGGCAAAATTGCACCATTTTCTCTACTAGATTACTCATATTGCTTTATGTGTAATTACAGCAAAACTTGCAAATGCTACATGCTGCTGCTGTTCATTATATGTTGGTCTGAGCAGACAGTAGAACAACATGTCAGCACAGTCCATGCTACTTCACTTGAAGAATTGATGAATACTCCCATACTGACTGAAAGAGCAAAGCACAAACATTCCTTGTGCCAGAGAAAAAGCTTCTGTGACTGTAATAAATTCCAGTCCTTACAGAGCTGCCCTTCACCATATCACAAAACATTACTATTTCTTCTTAATTTCTTTCCCATTTCTCATCGTAAGTGGTTGAACTGTCACTTCACTAGGTGGAAGTATTTGGACTGTGTTAGTTCTGAGAATGACAACACTTTCATGTGCATCATGTTTAACAGTACTCTTACTTACACTGTGAAATACTTAGCACTGAGATTACTTTTTTTCTGACTTTTATAGTTAGAATTCTTCGTATGTTTAGTCAGATAATAAATCAAATGCTAGAATATGTTGCTTTTTAATAACTAGAAAATTGCATATGTCTCTACCATCCCAGATAAAGGAAAAATAAGCTTCTTTACCTACCCCACTGTCTGATTAAACATAAAATGGGTAAGTATTAAAACGTTATTTTTCAATATCTATTGCATTTCTTTGTGACCTTGAACTGCTTTATAGTTTTAATATGTGTGTTTTACCTTAAATTATTTTTATTCATTGGCTTGTTTGTTTCTAAAGACTCCTACAAAATTCCAGGTATTGACAAATTACAGTTCATGTTAAAAGCTATCTAGTTCCCATTTTCCAGATTTTTTAAAATGTCCATCTTAAATGCCTATAAGCATTGCTTGTTTTTCAACTTTTCTTTCCAGCAATTCTTTCAAGCTCTTGTTCCTGTGCTTGAAATACAAGTAATCAGAGAGAGAGTGGCCAAGCCTTGCCTTTTCAAAGGATTTAAAGCTGAGGTGTTCTTTGTCCTCTGCAAGGTCTCTCTCTCCTTGGCTCTCCTGCTTGTCTGAGCTCCCTATTCTATTCTCCAGTCGTCCCTCACTTTGCACTTCTTCTTTCTCATTGCAGTAGGACTCTCTGAAGTCCTTCATCATGCACTCAGGTTTGCCAGACAGATCCTGAGCCGTGTATAGCTTATTGTCATCCTGGTGGTACATGGCAGGGGTGTATCCCTCTGCCTCATAGCAGTTGTCTTCCTCTTCTTCCTGGCATGAGCTTCCCTTGGCACTCTCGCCATCTGAATGAAATGAGATTCCCTTCCCTTGACTTTTCTGGGAAAGATCAAAGGGCTCTTCCTGTTCCAAGCTTCTTAAGACATTTGTCTGGGACAGAGCAATTCTTCCTCTTCCAAAACCTTGTAGTGGTTTGAGGGAGGAGAAAAGGAACAATTTATATATAGGAAATTTTACATGACACATGGTTAAAAAAACGGAATGTGAGGTGGCCTCCTATTTCATACTTTACCTTTGTTTTCCATTCAGCTGTCTCCAAGTACTTTGCTGTTTATGTCTCATGACATCTCCTTTGAGATACTGTTAAAGAAGTACTATTGTATACACTTCACAGCCAGGTCATGACACAGAAAACGTTGTGCTGGACATGCCAGACACTGGATTAGGGAGCTAGGGATAAAAGTGAAGTGGCCTGGCCCCTTTTAACTATTTTTGCCAGTGTACATTCCCTCTTCCTTCTTATTCTTTTAAGAAATGAAAACTTTGATCTAAAGCATCACATGCCATGACCAAAGCCTCAGGTTTTGTACTTTTGTTTTGGTTTGGTTTGGTTTGGTTTTTTCCAGATGGTTGGAAAAGATTAAAAACATTTTAATGTGATTGTCCTATAAACACTTCAGTTCAAAGTTACCACTTCAAAATGAAATGACAATCAAGTCTCGGCAGCCTACAACCTTCACTCTTCTTAATTTTTCATCTTTCAGCCACTGAGAAGCCATTCATGCCACTGAAAAAGCTCTGTGAAATAGGTAGTGCTTTAGCTTGAGGAAATCATTTTGAACAAATGATGATTTTGAGCAGTGCAGTGTAAGTCTGAGCATAATCCTGGATCTGGTTTATCTCAGTATTTGTCAGCATCTCCTATCTTGCTGGAAATCCAGGCATTACCTAGGAGGTATCCATGGACTCAAATGCACTCTGAGCACTGGGGGGCACTGAAGAAGATTCAGACATTGCAGGCATAGTCCATTTTAATTAAAAGAATAATGATACTACTAGGGTGAAGATTTCACCTGTTAGCAAGTATCTATGAAAGCTTCTATTTTATTTGCTTTAGTTTGGTTTGGGTTTTTTTTCCTCTTAGGAGTTGATCAATGCAGCCTCACTAGATGCAGCTGCTAATTTGCAACAGTTTGTATTTGTTAAAATGACTCATGAGGAGGTGGCAAACCTTACAAATTGCCTGGTGTCTAACAGCCTCAAGGGCTGAAAAAATCTCTGTACACTGAAAAACTCTTAGGCTGTCTTCAATTACAAGTAATTGCATAACCAGCATGATGCTGTGGGAGATTTATAGGAAAAAAAAATGAGCCATTTATCTCATTGCCTGTTGGGAACTTTGTAAAGTATAAGAACATTTGGTATGGCTTGATGAATCTTCTACACTCATACTGCTGAATATATTCTCCCTAACACCTGACAACAGCAACTTATTATGCTAAAATTATTTCTTTTCTGCTCATAAATGCTGTTGCATTTTGTCTCCATCTATTCCTCCATCTCGGTCTGTACCTGTGTGTTATCAGATATCTAGTCTGAAAGATCTCCAAGACAAGGGTCGCTACCTTGAGGATCTCTGACCTGTATCACTGAAGTGACACAAATAGTTAATGGCAACCTCCAGGGCTTATGGGATTCAATCTCTTCCAATCACGTTGGATCTGTAGTACAAAGCCCATGTGGGTTTACGGATATGCATCTTCAAATCTCTCAGAGAACAGCCTTGCTGAAAAATATTACCTTGAGAATGAAATCCTCGTTCCATAACCCCATGTTTGACTTTCATGTGCCTGGTTAGGTTCCCCTTCAAGGTGAATTTGCTGGGACAGTAGAGGCACTTGAAAGGCTTACTGTCTGAGTGCAAGTGCATGTGTCCCATTAGATTGTGCATTCTGTTAAATTCTTTTCCACAAAGCTGCAAAAAAAGTAAAAATGAAAATGATTAGTTAAAGTGGGTACAAGCAGAACATTTTGAAAGGAAATAGGACCTATTCTCAACTTGAGCCCTGGCAGCTTCTGGCTACAATTTTTTTTTTTAAAGATACAGACAAAAAAACTATGGACAGGAATATCCAGTTGAGTCTGATCTACCTAGGGCCTTCTGCACTGCTGTCATATTTTAAATTTGGTGAGTAGAACACACAGTCAAGGGTTCTCCAAAAACAGGGAATGTTCTTGTAAGGAGGTGAGAGGCTTAAGTGTGGAAGGCTCTTAATTTTAGTGAAATGCAAAGTATAACTTTCTGCACTGGTGAACCATTTTGTTTGTAGTTTATAAATCCGGCCTTTAGGCAGGAGCAACACCAGACAGAGATAGAGATACAAAATAAAACTAATGAATGGTTTCTGTGAAAAAGTCAAGCAGAGTATTACTTCTCATTAAGTGGAAATGAAATGGTTGCACATTTTGCTTAAACTAGAACAATTCCTTTTCTTTTTCTTTTCTACTCCCCTGTTTTTCTCTGATCCTCTTGTCTTCTGTTTACCAACTTCTGTGTTTCAGTCTCTCTGGTGAGTAAGATGGAATTTAAACAGTCATGGGGCTACAAGAATGACTCAGCTTTTCCTGAACCGTGCTCCTCACTGATCGTGCTCAACAAGACATTGATCGTGCAAGTTTGCCTTTCATGAAACAGTAAGGGGGATTTCTGTTTTCATTATTATTGTTTATCTAGATGGATCCTTTTGTAATCTAGCTCCTTATGAGTCAAAGGTATTCTCAAGACATGAGAGTTTGAAATCACTATTACAAGCTTCTAGTCTTACTTGTCTTCTGGTCTTTCCTTATTAGGATTTATAATTTTACTCACATTCAAGTGGCTGTTTCCATCCTCTGCAAACTTTGGTGTTTGCTTTCTACTTCAGGTCCTTTCTTAGGAATAGTTTTACCATCAGATATTTTTTCTTTACAAGCTTTATCGCTATATGAACCAGAATCACTATTACTGAGTAAAAGAAACTTCTATCAAGCAGTGTACTCATTGAGGTGAAAATTACTAGAAAAACAATTATTGAGAGTCCACCAAAATTTTAGTCTAATCTGAATTCTGATTTAATTTATTTGGATAATACAGAATGTCTGTTACAGTACTTTTTGATTCAAATTCACAAAGCCATCACCTGAAATATGTGGATGAAATGTAGATAGTGGAATGATCCTTGGTGAAATAGTACTGTATCTCTTTTGTATTTTAAACCATTTCTCGAGGGGAAAATGGAAGCATTCCGTTAATACAGAAATTTACAGGGGTATTGTGTTCAAATAAAAGCTTGGTCTGAGTCAGCACTGCAAAAAGAGAGTTTGGAAATATTCACTTGCTTTCAAAAAAACTATTTGCTGCACAAATTCTCTTCCATGATTTGCTCTCTGCAATTTTGCTAAAATTAATATTCTGACAAATTTATCAGCAAAATGTTCACCAAGATAGGGAGCTGGGGTGGGGAAAGCCACTGAAAACGAGATATTAACCAGTAAAACTAAAATGTCTGATTCCAAGGGTCATCCATCCACTTAGGAAAGAGGACTGTCTCTTTGCATTTGAATGAAGTTAATATGTTTGATGACTGGTATTCAGGGAAATGAATGCACAAAAAAAACCCAAAACCACTCTGAAAGTGATGGGGGAAACAAACAGGAGAAGCAGCACTGATGAACACAGAAAATTTGCAAGGAAGAACAGAGCTGATTATATCTCAACAGCTTATGGAATGACCTACGACATGTCAATGTTTCTCAGGCTACAAGAATGCCAATAATAACACCCCTCAGCGGAAGGCTTCTAGTTGTCTGCTTGTGTTGTGGCTGATCTGTGTTCTCACCAGCTTTTGCTTTCTGACAGCTAGGTCTTTATTTCTCTATCTAAACTGATAATCAGGAAAAAAAGGTTATCAGGTGCTTTATCTTTATAAGGTATTGATTATTGAAATGCGTCTAGTAGAAGCCCTTTTTGTTGTTGTTTTGTGGTTTGGGTGGGGTTTTTGGTGTTTGGTTTGTGTTTTGTTTTTGTTTTTTGGTGAAGGCAATATTTATTTATCTCCATAAGGAAAAGACAGGGACTAAAATTTTGTGTATCTGAATAAATGGGGTAGGTTTTCTATACCCAATGTCATGCACAGTCTTATGGATGTGTAATGTGTTCTTCTCTTGAAATCTCCCCTGAGAACATGAGGAAATGGTAGCACAGTGAAGAGGAGTGGCAGGAAAATGAAAGAAATGCAGATATTAAAATTGTTTTTTGGGATGATTGCTCTGTGTGGCATTATCTCTCAATAACCCGTACATTTCAAAAGGCACATGATGACTTTCAGATGAGTATTCATGATCCAAAGGATGAAGGGGTCAGGTTGTGTGCTCTTATGCCGGAAGACAGTGACCTAGAGCTAGCTGGGTTTCACGGCCAGCGCTTAAAGAACAGCCTGAGCCTGCAGACCAAACCAGGAAGGTGCACAAGATTTTGCCTCTGTGAAAGGGCAGAGTTGTGAGCACTGATCAGAGTCCTGAGCCAGCTGCGTGAGAGGGAGCTCCAGCAGAACTCTTCACAGAGCACCTTAGCACTGAAGGGGAATCAAAGCTCATGCAAGAGATCTTGGGATAGTAGGAACAACAGGTTTACTTGTGGACCTTTTGTTAGGCTTATATTGGACAAAGTAAAATTCAAGCCCTGAAGAGAAGGACCTCAGTTGCAAGTCTGCTGAACACACTTTGCTGCACTAGCTGATGAAATGGACTGAAGTAATTTAGATCAACACTAGATTTTGTCTTCCTAAGTCACCACTTGAAGTATCACCTTTCTAGATTTGTCAGTCTGTTTTGTTTCTTCCGAAGTACTTCTCTCTCACATTTCCTTTGGCTTTGACTCCTGTTCTAAACCCATGATTTTAGATGGGGAAAAAAGTGGAGTTCAAAACATTTGCTGCAAAGTGTGTTTGGCTGGGCTGGAGAAAACTTCATTACATTCTTTACTGGAGGTCTAAAATATTGCTGACTCCAGCACTAAAAGCAATGGTATGTTTCACAGAAGCTTCCTCTACAAATCAGAATTAGCACTATTGCACCAGTTGGTGCAACTCCTTCAGAACTCTTCAGTGGTTTTGGGTGGAGGGGGTTGTTGTTTTTCTTTTAAACAGAAATTTAAAAGGCAGCATGGGCTCAGGCCTTTAAACACTACAGAGAAGTTCAGTCTTCAGACAAAAATTAGACACAGATCCTGGCTGCAGCTGGATGAGGAAACAGAAGGGACAGTTATTTGCTACTCCCTCACTTCAGATAGTCTGTGCTTAGCTGTGATTAGACACATAGGAAAGCCTCATGTTTTCTTTTGCTGTGAGAAAAAGGTAAAGAAAACCATTGCATGTGGTGAAGTAGAAAGGCTACTGGCTGTGCTCTCTTTCCCTTACATTCTTCTTTTTTTTTTTTTTTTTCTTCATAAGAAGGGTGTTCCTTTCCTCAAAGAGAGAGGGAGAGGGAGAAAGACTGTAAACTGTCCAAAAGGACCGTGAGAAAACAGGAAGCTTTGAAAAGTACAAGAGAAAGCAAGATGAAATCTATTTGCAGGCGGTTCCCTGGGGACATGTGAGCCATTGTTAAAGCAGGCTGTTCATACAGCTATATCCTTCCTTCTGCTGAGGAGGAGCTTGGTGCCAAAAGGCTGCTATCTGGTCATTGCCTTAACCCTCTGAATACCAGCCAGAATATTTGCCCAAGTCTCTGCCCTACCAGAGAGCCAAGGGATGTTCCTAACACAAAAGAGCAAATGCTGGTTCTCCCTTTGCTTGTTACAACCTACATTCTGTTCAGGGGCATCCCTGCAGCCATGGGAGAAACTGGTTTACTGTGCTTACTTGTTTCTTTTCTCCTAGGAACACTGGGTGGGGACAGAGAAGTAAAAAAATAAGAAAAACAGGTGTTCCTGGTGGTACTCCAGTTCCCTGTTCAAGCTATTGCCATCTCCAAGTACAAATAGTCTGTCATCATCAAACTGTAAGCTGAACACAAACTTCCAGCTAATCTGCACATACTAAAAAATAATGTGGGTCCAGATACTGCAGAGCAATTGATCAAACAATTGAGTTTCTTTTCTGAAATTTGAGGGATCAGATGAGAACTTTGACCAACTGGGAACAAAAGGCCAGGTTTGCAGGTATTCACACAGAATGAAAGTCTACAGAAGATTTGACATAGAATTATGGAAGCAATTCAGTAACAGAAGTTATTTAATCAGTCTAGACTAACATAAATCCTAGTATACAAAATAACTTTTTAGTAGGACATAAATTAAAATTAAACAAAAACCTAAAGTTGGAAGATTTTTCTGTTATTTTTTCAAGGTGAAATGCTGCAAAGTTGTCAAAGCAAAATGCACTGATTAAGTCTAACATTTTCCTACTAAGATTATCACTGAATGCCATATTTTCCTATGACATTTTGAAATTCTACATCTTTTGAGACAAAATAATACCATTTAAAATGTTTCACCCAAATCTGCTTCTCAATGATGCTTTCGTTTTAAGAAAATATTTAATTCCATGAAGATGTTGGGTCAAAGAGTTCTAGAAATTGCTTCCAGATCAGTCTTCAGTTACTTATGCTTAAACTGGATAAAATGCTCCACTCTATATTTATAACCCTCTTAGAGGAGATCATAGTAAGAATAAAACCTACAACCTTTGACTTGACAAGTTATGTCTAAAATAATGAGCCAGATAGGCAGCAAAGGAGCAGATGCAGTGTCCAATACTGGATAAGAATATAAACACAACCAATTCATAAGGAAGATATTAGAGATGAGCTCAGTAAAGAAAAACAAATCTTTAAAGGTTTATGAGGAGGGAGAAGAGGGGATAGAAAGGGAGTGTCAACCTCCGATGGGCTGGCAGAAGGCAGCAAGCTGGAATTCACACAGAACCCTAAAAAGGTGAGATGGTCTTAGAGGCTGCTTTGTTAGGATACTGATGTCCTGCCCTGAATTTCAGCCTGGTATTTACACTTGACCCATTCAAATCCCTTCTGCAGCTGTATTTTTCTGTAGCTTTCCTCGAGTCTTTCTCTGAACTGTCACACAGCATCACTATGTGAAATCGCGGCTGCTGCTTCTCTACAGTCCTCTGTGGGGTGCATGACTTGAACTATGTTTTTAGTCACTGTTTCAAGCTGTTAAACACTTTGACTTCTGTTTGGATGGCTGTACTAAGCAAATGTCAGGTATACCTGTTGTCCTCAAACTGCTGTGGCATTGAAATGATCACAAAGCAGAAGAAAAATACTTGAGGATGAAAGATGCTGATATTGAAAGGGAAAGGAGTAAACCACGGAAGTTTTCCTCCATTATTTTGTGCTATGTAAGCAGAACCTGGATAAAGGCAGAAAACCAGGCCAGTTTATGCTAGTTTAAACGCAACTGCAAGTTAGTCACGTCTTGGTTTTTTACTGCTGTCACATCACAAGATCATTATATCACAGAAATATCCAGTGTGTTAATGCCTCTGACACCAAATGAACTTACCTTGCATTTAAAAGGTTTGACATCAGAGTGAACAATCATGTGGGCCTTGAGAGTCTGCTTCTGCACAAAGCTCTTGAAGCACAGATGGCATTGATAGGCTCTGATGTTGGTGTGGATCAGGACATGTCGCTTCATGTTGGCCAGCAGAGTAAATTCCCGGCCGCAAATTCCACATTTGTGTTCTTTCACACCCTGTGAGAAAAGGAAAAAAAAAAATCAGAAAATTCTATAGATGGAAAATTTTCTAGATCATTTAATGTTCAGTACAAAAATATATGAATTATTTATTCTTCATTAGCAAAGCAGGTAATAAATTATTTCAGTTTTAACATCATTTGCTGAAGTTGTAGATACTTATGTATTTCTTTCCTGGCAAATTCTTACAGAGATCTGAAAGACAGAGAAATATAAGCTTAATGAATACTAAGTTTTATTTCCATCAGTAAGTTTAAAAATCCTATGAGACGTAGTCAGGAACAGAGCTTCTGTGTCCCACTCTGCTGCATATGTTACTTATTGGTTAAATGTGTATAATTAATAGACAAGAAAAAAAACTAACCAGTTAAGAAACTAAAGTAGTGCTTGCTTTTGAATGTCATTGGCTTCTAAAAAACCCATAGCCCTGCTTTGAGGAAAGCTATAGAAAATAATCTGAAGCAACTGAGGAGCAGTCAAGCAATGTAACCAAATAACGATATACGTGTTACATTCAATTTTTACCTGGTGTTTACAGAGCATTTCTAGCACCTTTTATGCCATCCAGTCGTTTTACTAATGCGTAATTCAATATTCTTGCTTACGCACATATGGTCTTACTGCCAGCTCCTCAAAAACTCATTTAGATGCTATGAAAATCAATGAATTTACCACTAAACACTTTAAGAGTTCAGGTATAACTTGCAGAAGGTAATGAGAATTGTGCTGAGAGCAATTACTCCTCCTGCAGGCCCCATAACAAAGAACACTCTAAACCATCCCTACTTTTGTGCTAATCAGTGTTTTTCACAGTTACTTGCGGAGCTAAAATTGTGAACACTAACAGTGTCTTTAAGTGTCCGCCTGTCTGATGTGAGACTGCATTTGGTCACCTAAGTGCTGTTAATTATGTTCACAGTTGAATCCACCTGCAGCTGTGGACAAAGAAGCAGAAGCTCTCTAAAGACTCAGAGGCATTGCATTTCCTGTGACAGAAAACTAACAGGTCTCAGATTGGTAGAATTTTGCATGGTAAATCCAAAGACCACAGAATCTCCAAAACCAGCAAAAAAATATAATCATGTAGTAGGAAAGAAAAAGCAAATGTGGATATAGAGGTTGTTGGGTTTTAAAAGCAAACGTGTCTATAAAACTGAAATGCTGTAGCTTTCTGTATTTTTAATGTCTTTCATGTAAAAGCCAAAATTCAAGAGTTAAAAGTATGCAAAGCAAATTTTTACAAAATATATGGAGTTCTGGCTTATCTTAACAGCATTTTTGTAAAGGCGAATAAGCCAATTTCAGATATTCTTGATCAGTCACATTTTCGCTATTTTTGAAAGCAGTCTTCCTGGATGTGTTCCAAAGCCTGCTCCAGCCTAAACTGACTCTGCTGTCATTGCTGCCGCTGCTTGATATATATTGGCTGAGACTATGGTCCTGCTTGTCCACTTTCATTAGCTGGCATTCTGGATAACTTATGTGAGAGGGGGAATTTTTCTTAGGTTGTTTTGGTGTTTTGTTTTTTTTCCCTAAGTGTCTCATTATGATGATTCTTCCAAATCTCTTGAGTAATAATGTCTCTCGCTGCAGTCTACTGCCAATCCACCTACTTCCCAATTAAGGGAGCATAGCGATAGACCTGTTTTTCAGTGGAAAATTTCTGTTAAAATCTCAGGGGGGTTATACAGTTCTACCAAATTATGTTATGTTACAGGAGGTCATTCTGAAGATAAAACCCACAGATGGAAACATGTGAATACAGTTTTAAGAAATAGTATAGGTGGTTTAATTGGACTCCCATTTATGACAGAGCACAGTTTGTGTGTACTTTCTTAAGACAGACAGAGACATATGGCACCTACTATTACCAGTACTGCTGGGGCTTTTGCTCTACATAAAACTCTCCAGCTGGCAAAGGGCCAGCATGAGGCTCTATGACCTGATTATCTTCTTTCCGAGGAGCTACATACATGTATCTTTAGTAGCCTGCAATCCCTGTGCTACCTTCTGATGCAAAGTGAGATTGCAACCGGTTCTGGCTTACCTTGTGAGTTAGGGAGTGTTGTTTGAGATGGTGGGGCTGCACAAACTCCATGCCACACTCAGTGCAGATATATGGGCGGATGTCTTTGTGCTTCATCATGTGATTTTGCAGCTGACTTGGGTACTGGAATGTCTTATCGCATTCAGTGCAGTTGTATTGTATAGGGCCACGGTGGGTTGTGAGGTGCCTCTTCAGCTGAGCCAGGGTTGGGAAGTCCAGACCACACTCCACACAAATGTTCTCTCTGCCACTCTCGTGCTTAGACTCATGTGCTTTCAGCTCACTGGGGTAGGCAAAACCCCTGCCACAGATTCTGCAGTTGTAAGGCTTGATGTCGCTGTGTTGCATCATGTGTCTCTTGAGGTGGCTGGTTTGAGTGAAAGCCTTGTGACACACCTGGCACTTATGTGGCCGAGTGCCCTGGTGTGTCAACATATGTGTGTGCAAGTGACTCAGCTGCTTGAAAAGCTTGCCACATCGGGTGCAAGCATGGGGCTTAATGCCACTGTGCCCCAAGATATGGGTGACCAGGTTGTACTTGGATGTGTAGGACTTCTCACACATGGGACATTGCCAGCGTTTCTGTTCACCCCCAACATCAACATAGTAACTGTCATCTATCTGAAGGTTGACATCTACTCGTTCCACTTTCTGTTTATTTTCACCACTTTCTCTTACTTCAGCTCTCCTGAAGGGTGGCTCTGGAGGTCTTTTCATTTGAAAGGGGTTCCTGAAATGAAAGTTTGGCGGCACAATAAAAGGAAACATTAAGCCAGGGTGGACTTTAGGATAATAAGGGTAAGGAGCCTGCATGAAACCTGGGCTACTGGGCCATGCCACATTAGGCTTCACTGATTCTTGCTTAATGGGCTTGGCTCCAAAGTGCTCCAGAGTTCTGTAGAACTGAAACCCAAAGTTGCAGAGGTCGATCATCTGGGAACTGTACTTGGGCTGTGCTGGCTGTTGGAACACCAAGGAGAGACTAGAAGAGCCTATATCACTGTGGTCTTCAGGTCTGTCTGGTGGTGATGAAGAACCCTCAAGGGCAATGGAAGGCGGCATTTTTGTTGGCATGCTCTTACGTTTCCGAGAACCTCCTTCCAAGGACCCCTGAAATGTTTCCATGTCTCCAAGAGGAGGAGGGCCATAGTGGAAATGTGAGAGGTGCGATCTGAATTCTTCACCAAATGGAGTTGTTCTCTGTGGCTTTGTAACAGGGCTTAGTGGCTGCAGGCAGCGAGAGAAGGAAGAGGCTGCAGTACTGTCCACATTGAAACTCATTTCTTCATTCTTCATCATGCTCGATTTTTCCTGTGTTGCACAAATTCCTTCAAATAAACAAACACCAAAATCTCTTTATTTCTTCCTGTTCTCCTGGATTTAATGTGTTATTTTATTTATCAAGTTTGACCCATACAATATCTTTGCAACATAAACAATCAGTACCATGTAGTGACACACTACTTTGCATCTGAATCTGTATAGCAAGATTTATGCTTAATTTAATTCAACCACACTATTTGTAGGCAAAATCTTGTCCTTGGCTGTGCATGCACAGGTTCTAGAAATTGGCTGTGCATCTAAAGGATATAGCAATACAAACAGTAATGTTCACATTTATTATGGTTGTGACATGAAAAGCCAATGCCAAAAAATGTTAAACTTCTTTGTATCATTAACATGTGCTGCTGTGAGAGAAAACAATGGCCAAGAGATCTAAGGACACTGTGTACCATCAGGTTTTGCGCCATGTTTCCTGGCTTCTCTCACTTTGTATTGTAATAAGAAGGCGGAGATTAATTTATTTTCTTTGTTTTAATCCCAGAGATATTTACCTGGCAGATTTGGAGGAGGAAAAAACCTTTGACAACTCTCCAAATTACTTCCAGTTTTATAGGCTTAATCTGGAGGGGTTTTTGTTTCTAAATAAATGGGCGAAATCACCACTATAAAACTAAATACAGATTTAATGTCAACAACCCCCCAGGTCTCCAGAGGAATTGATACATAAGAATGCTCCAAGCCTTACTAGTCAGACTGTCACAAAGCAGATTAATAATTATCTTCTGGCAAAATTTTATGTTCCACTGATCAGCTGTATCCTGGGCTGCATCAAAAGGAGCATGACCAGCAGGTCAAAGGAGGTGATCCTGCCCCTTTACTCTGCTCATGAGACCTCACTTGGAGTATTGTGTGCAGTTCTGGTGTCCTCAACATAAAAAGGACATGGAACTGTTGGAAGAAGTCCAGAGGAGGGCCACAAGGATGATCAGGGGACTGGAGCACCTCCCATATGAAGACAGGCTGAGAAAGTTGGGGCTGTTCAGCCTGGAGAAGAGAAGGCTGCATGGAGACCTCATAGCAGCCTTCCAGTATCTGAAGGGGGCCTATAGGGATGCTGGGGAGGGACTCTTCATTAGGGACTGTAGTGATAGTACAAGAGGTAATGGGTTCAAACTTAAACAGGGGAAGTTTAGGTTGGATATAAGGAGGAAGTTCTTTATTGTGAGGGTGGTGAGGCACTGGAATAGGTTGCCCAAGGAAGTTGTGAATGCTCGATCCCTGACAGTGTTCAAGTCTAAGTTGGACAGAGCCTTGGGTGACATGATTTAGTGTGAGGTGTCCCTGCCCATGGCAGGGGGGTTGGAACTACAAGATCTTAAGGTCCTTTCCAACCCTAACTATTCTACAAGTCTATGATTCTGTACACAAAGCTTCTCCTGAATTTAGGGTTCACCTAAAATATTGAATTATGTTTCAGGTTAAATAATGCAGCTACCTTTTGTCTTTGTTCTCCAGAATCGTGGAATCATTTAGGTTGGAAAAGAGCATTAAGATCTGTGAGTCCAACCACAAACTTAACACTGTCAAGTACATCACTGAACTGTGTCCACAAATGGAACATCTACACATCTTTTAAATACCTCCAGGGATGGTGACTCAACCACTTCCCTGGGCAGCCTGTTCCAATGGTTGACAACCCTTTTGGTGAAGACATTTTTCCTAATATCCAATCTAATCCTCCACTGGTGCAACTAGAGGTCATTTCCTCTTGTCCTATCACTTGTTACCTGGGAGAAGAGACCCACACCTACCTCGCTAAAACCTCCTGTAGATAGCAATAAGGTCCCCCACAAGCCCCCTTTTCTCCAAGCTAAATAATCCCCCTTCCTTCAGCTACTCGTCCTAACACTTGTTAATTAGACACTTCACCAGCTTTTCTGGCTTTCTTGACATGCTTCAGCACCTCAATGTCTCTCATGCAGTGAAGCACCCAGAACTGAATGGAGGATTTAAGGTGCAGCCTCACCAGTGGCGAATACAGGGGAATGATCACTGCCCTGGCCCTCCTGGCCATACTATCTCTTATACAGACCAGGATGGTGTTGACCTTGTTGGCTACTGGGCACAAGCTGGCTCATGGTCAGCTCCATCAGTCAGCACCTCCAGGTCCTTTTCCATGAGCAGCTTTCCAGCCACTTGTCCCCAAGCCTGGAGAATTTCATGGGGTTGTTGTGGCCCAAGTGCAGGAGCTGGCACTTTGCCTTGTTGAACCTCATACCATTGGCCAAAACCCATTGATTCAGCCTTCCCAGATCTCTCTGCAGAGACTTCATACCCTCAAGCAGATCAGCACTCCCACCCAGCTTAGTGTGATCTGTAAACTTACTCAGTGTGCACACGATCCCCTCATCCAGGTCATTTATAAAGATACTAAACAGAAATGGACCCAATACTGAGCCCTGGGGTACACCACTAGTGACCAGCTGCCAACCGGATTTACTCCATTCAGCACTGCTCTTTGTGCCCTGCCATCCAGGCAGTTTTACACTCAATGAAGAGGACACCCATCTAAGCCATGAGCAGCCAGTTTCTCCAGAATGCTGTGAGAAATGATGTCAAAGTCTGTACTGAAGTCTAGAAAGACAACATCCACAGCCTTTCCCTCATCCACTAAGCAGGTCACCTTGTCATAGAAGGAGATCAGGTTGGTCAAGCAGAACCTGCCTTTCAAAAACTTGTGCTGACAGGGCCTCATTGTCCTTCTCCTGTACTTGCTGTTTGATGGTACTCAAGATGATCTGCTCCAGAATGTTCCCTGGCACTGAGGTCAAACTGACAGGCCTGTAGTTTCCTGGGTCATACTTCCAGCCCTTCTTGTAGATGAAGGTCACATTTGCCAATCTCCAGTCAACTGGGACCTCCCCAGTTAGCCGGGACTACTGAGAAATGATGGAAAGTGGCTTGGTGAGACCTTCTGCCAGCTTCCTCAGTACCCTTGGGTGGATCCCTCATGTTTGCATAAACTTATATGTGTCTAAATGGTGTATCAGGTCAATAACCATTTCCCCTTGGAACATGGGGGCTTCATTCTGCTCCTCATATCTGTCTTCCAGGTCAGGGGGTGGGCACCCAGACAACAGCTGGTCTTATTCTTAAAAACTGAGTCAAAGAAGTCATTAAGTGCCTCGGCCTTTTCCTCATCCTTTGTCACTCTTTCCTTTGCATCCAATGCAGGATGGAGATTGTCCTTAGCTCTCCTTTTGTGGCCAATGTATTTATAGAAATATTTTTATTGTCTTTTAAGGCAGTAGCCAGATTAATTTCTAGTTGGGCTTTGGCCATGCTAATTTTCTCCATGCATAACCTCATGACATCCTTGTAGTCCTCCTGAGGGATGCACTTATCTGTGCGTGCATGTGTGTTTATGTACATGCATCCATCCAACCAAACAGAGGTTGTGCTGGAAAACCAGACGTATTTTCCCTCTGTCACCTGTGACACATTGATGCTATTTATAACCCCGTTCTTGGAAATGCTGGGTGGAGAGCGTGAAGGTGGTTGGAGTGTTAAAGATACTCCTGTTTCTTTTTCAGGAGGCTCTATGTTGGATAAAACTGCTTCTAAATATAGATAAAAGCACATTTCTGTGACCTAGTTAGGCTGTGGACAAAAGAAGGCATTTTAAAAACGTTCTTACAAGCAAATTACTTCCTTATAACAGGTTAGACTGTAGAATTATCTTTGAGATACTGTTTGAAGCCAAAGGCTTAGTGATGAAATTTTAAGATGGAAAATTTGCACAAAGGGATCAGTCAGTGCACAGATAAGAAGTAGTAACCAAAGCAAAAATTGTAGGAGCTCTAAACTGATTACTCAGAAAACATCTGTGCTAGTAGAAAAGGCTGCAAAAACATTGCTTAAAACTGGGACAAGTGTTTAATAATTATGCCAGGATGTGACTTTTAGTCCCTGACTCACTGACTGGATATAGTGTATGTGTATATACACACACTATGTGTACACTATTTTTGTGTTTGTATGTGTATTTAAGTAATATATGTAACTGTGTACGATCCATCAGAAAGGATTGTTATGGAATATGCATTCTGTTATGTTTCCTTGTCATCCTAAGTCCCTGGGCAAAATAAGGAGCAGTTAAACCTTGAAGACTCTTTGGGTGCAAAGGCTTGGTTTACTAAAAAAGGAGAAGGGGAGAGGAATCCTTTGAATACCGAAAAAGACTCCACTTTTTTTTCCTAAAAGGAAAAAAAGTTTGGGTTTGGGTTGGGTTTTTTTCAAAATTCAGTATAAGCAAAGTTAAACTCCCACAATTTGAACATAAATTATGCCTGTACACCAAAATCTTCCCTTCGAAGTATGGACCTGTCCCTCAAATACCTTTCATCTTGTGTAACTGATTCTTTCCCAGCAATATGGGTATAAAATGCTTCAGAAAGCCCACAACAATTGAAAACCCAGCTATGTTATTTACTGCTTTTGTTAGATTATTGAAATACTGCCAAAAATACACAGAAGTAATGAAGTTGTGACTAATCGCTCTCTTGTCTCTTGGCTGCCAGTTACTCCCTTCTTCCACTGCCTGCATTATGCAAAATTTCAATCTTTCTGGAATACAGACTCATGGCAAAGGCTGTAGAATGGCTTGAAATTACTAGAAAGAGTTAATTTTGTTGCACTACTAACCTTTGGCTGCTTTCACTGAGCTTGTGGGTTTATCGCACTGTCCACAGCTACACACATCACAGGACAAAACCTATGGGGGAAAGTATTTAAACAGTCAGTGACAAGCAGTCAGAGAGGTGCTACACAATCCAACAAAAGAGGACCTAAAAGGGGAGGGAGAGTACAGATTTGCAGTGCAAATATTTTTTTTATATTTACAATATTACTATATATTGTAAATCATAATATATTGTAAACTCTACTGTATTTTTTTATATTTACAAAATATTATAATATATTGCAATATTTACTATATTACAATATATTGCAGTGTAAATACTTTCTGCTCTTCTTTCCTCTTCAATCTGCCAAACACTGTAGTGGAGAAATTAATTAAGGAAAGATTAGATGTAACCTATCTTCTCATCTGCTTTCATGCTGGTAGCAAACCCTTACTAATTTCTAGGGAGCCATGATCTTCACTTGATCAGAACTTAATTCCATAAGTATGTGAGTCCTGAAGAAACCACAGAAGATACTACAGATCTAACCACCATGCAAGAAATAAGGAGCTTCAAAGATTTTAACTGCAGCTCCTCAGTAATTTTATTCTGTATGACTCTGGAGTAGCTGATCTCATTTTAATACTCAACAATGAATAATGAGGGTGTGAATTGAAAAACATTTGTTTTAAATATCTCTTAGTGATCTTTTGTGTTTCCTATAAAAGCACTTTAAAACTTCTTTCTTCAGCACTTATTATTTGAATTGTAATGCTATGTAGCACAGCGGCTTGTGATTCTAAACACTTAGTTTAAACCTGGATAGATATTATGAAATTCTATCTTTTATCAGTAGCATTTCAGCTCCTCAGTTTTGAAAACTTGGTATGGAAATCTCACTGAGACAGCGGTTTTCATACTGTATTGGCACTTACACTTTAAAAAAAACCCCACTAAACCTAGCACTCCAGAGCTTATTAAAAAGTTAATTTCTTTTGAACAGACAAGCATCCTCATGGTTTCTTTCTATATGTAAATACTTGGAAATACATGATTTTGAAAAATAGAATGGCAAACAAGCTCCCACCCCACACTTTCAACAAAAGAAAAGAAATACTACAGTGAGTTCAGGTAGTTATTGAAATATTTCCACGATAGAATATTTATGCAACACCTAATAATGTTGTTAACTTCCATTAAAGAGGAATAGTTTATACCAAATATGAATCCCCCTTTATTTTCTCATTTCCTTTCACCGTATTTCTACAAAGGATTAAAAAAGTATGTAAATCATGCTATTCACTCTACAAACATATGCTTGTTACAGTTTCCAGTTAATATTCTGCACTGGTTAGCAGCAAATTTTCTTTAGACTTCAGTAGAACAAAAGTTGTGCATGAAAGTGTCTTCTAATAATAAAAGTGTGAGGTGGTGAATTTTCTCAAGCTTAAACACTGAATACTACTGTTCTGATTTTGCTCTTGGGCAGCATAAAGCTAAAACCAGAAATGAGACCAAGATGAGTGAAAGTTTTATGTACTCCCTAACAAAGGGAAATGGTCTACTTTATTAAGAGGTTTGCACTTGTGTTTGCTCTTTCACAAGAAGAAGAAACAGAGGAAAGTGGAAGAAGTGTAAAGGTGGCTGAATAGACTGAACGGCTTCTCTTACTGAAAGAGAAGTTACACATTTGATGGAACATGTATGACTGTAGAAATTGTGCCCTGTAAGAATGTATTTCTGCTTTCCTTTGGGGCCTGAAATATTGGCCTCTGTAAGGAAAGAATGAAATCTAACAGCTGTTTCTGTATTGGAAATGGTGTAGATCAGTGAAAAATGACACACTATTACATTTCTTGAGGTGAAGCTGAGCAGCTGGAGAGCTTCAGCCTTATTGAGCAACCAGCTGGGTTTTTTTCAGTCACTGACTGTTGTAACCCGCTATATATCGATGGTCATGGTTATCTTAATAGAATCTTCTTCATTCAGTTCACATTTCCAAATTGGTTTTGGAATGTTTTTAAATGTACTAGATGTTTTGGAACAGGTTTTAAATGTACTCAGTCATACAGCTGTTGAACTAAGAACCAAAGTCTTTACTTAGTTTTCACTTGTTTACTATTTCGATTTATGCAAAATTCACATCAGTCTCCAGATCTGACCAAAAAGGGGGTTACAAATTCATCTCATTTCAGCAGTGAAGCAGTGTTCCCTATGGCATCTACACTGATTTATTTGTCAGACTTTGAAAATGCTAGGAATACTTGTACAAACATGAATGCATACGCTCCTGGTAACGGAGTATTTTGAGTTAGTACACATCTGATCATTCCTTACTATCCTCCATGCTGATTTCCTTCAGTGATGGCATGAACTCTCCATTAACCCCTTTTTTCTTTCTATTCCACTTCTTTTCTGCTGCCTTCAGAGTGTGAGTGAAGTCATGCAACAATGTTGCCATTCCTCATTTCCTCTTCTATTGGGAATTTAATAGTTTTAGAGAGTTGTAAATCAATCATTTGGATGTTTTTAACCTGTAATTTTAAAATTTTTCTTGTTTCTTTTCCCGGTTTTATAGCCTGCCGTAAGAAGTTAGACTACATGATAATAAACTTCCACAGCTGTAAAATCTGTGCACCTGCTTGTCATTTGTACAGTCAAATTTTTGTTTCTAGGTAATAGTGCTACAATGCTGCTGCAATAATGAATGATGCAGAAGTTCTAAACATGCTTGGAAGATACAGAGTTATTTGAATATGATATTTCACTAGATATTGGCTCAAACTGTGATGGTTATTCAATAATAGATTATTTGCATAGCGTTTTTTTCAAATTAACGTACATTATTTACTCTAGGAGCGAGTGACTGTAGTCATTAGAGTAGGGTAAAAGATAAAAGACCATGTTCAAACGTTCATCAGAATTTCTTTAAAATCTATGTCAACTCTCTAATTCTTTAGAGAAGTCTATGCAAAGTGTGTTTTCCATCCATGTTCTCACAGTATAAATATCCACATTTCAAGCACACAAATTTGAAAAATTGAGTCCATTAACATATACTGAGTACATGTTTTTATACTCAAGACAAGTATATAAACTGGGTATGTGTTGTATAGTCAAATCAGCCTTGAAGTCCGTAAGCTACATTATTTGCAGCTAACCTAAAAGCTGATTTACATTTTAAACGAAGAGAGCACTCTTCCTGCTACAGTGTAGAGCCAGGAGAAGACAGAAATTTGGACTACTTTGCAAAAATAAACATGGATTGAGGGAAAGTATCCAAAATCAATGAGTGCAGATACTGATTAGGAAGACACAAATGGTGGGGAAACCTTAAAGAAACAGTCCTGTGCTGGAAATAATAGCCATTGTGGAGTTTAGTCGAAACTTCTCAATACCACTTCTACAAACAGTTGTTTTCTCTCTCTCGCATGCAGACCTGGTATTAAACGAAGTCCATGATTTAACATCTCCTTAACTGTCATTTAAGCTAAGGCTTCTTGTCACATGCCTTTGGAAACAAGTTGATCATGAAAATGATCTGGAATACTGAAAATGAGAAGTGGACCAGATCAGGTTTTTTCTTCCTACATTAGTGTGATAGTACTGAGGATCTCAGTGTCTTTTTCACTTCTCCCTGGGAAATTACCTTCATCTGCTGGTATCAGGCTTCAGGAGAAAACTTCTTCTTTCCATTAACAAACGTGTGCTTTTTTTCTCAGCACACATTAAAGGAAAACTGATAACGTTGGTAACTCTTCATAGGGCATAATTAGAGCTCACTGAGGTTTATGGGAAGACTTCCAATGAACTCTGAAATTAATCTGTCACAATTTTCCTTGTTATTTGTTATAGGATCTGTTGTCCAGTGAGATACGAATCCATCTATGCCATGACCAAAATTGGTTACTTTTAGCAAATGTATGGTACATATATGAAAAATACAACTTATATCCTGAGACAACATGCTAGCAGATGGCAAACTTTGCAGATAAATGTAGTAGAAATCATACGACCACACACATAAGAAACTGAACTGATAAAAAATCTGACATGGTTGAACAGTTTAACATGACTCAGTAAACAAATGCAAGAAGAAATGAACTTTCAAGGGTGTCCTATATGTTAATTATTTTCTTTTTTCCTTCATTGACTCTGTTTTGGCATGTCTTCCTTGCTTCATGTCCAAAGTTTGATTGTTTTAGATATTCCTTTGCTCTAAGTTCTTCCTATGCAGTGTAGCTGCATTAATGTTGTGTGGGAGATGACACCAATGTGAAGAAACGGGTCTTTTTTCAGAAAATTATGCAACAGAAATACCCTCCCTGCATTGTCTTTGTTATTCCCAAATTTTAACATTTTAAGTTAAATCCTTTCTGTTTTGTTTTGGCTGGAAAATACAAAATTAAGGGAACATACCAGTTTGCCTGGTTTGCCTATAAAGTGGCTTTTGCAGTCATCTTGGATATATGTGTAACTTGGTTTTGTACTCAGTTTTCAGGGAGCAAGACACTGAGCACTTTTACAGTTAACAGGTTTTATTGATATTTCTTTTAATAGAGAAAATTATTAAAATAGTATCAAAATTAATGTGCATTCACTTTTCCATAACCTACAGATCATTTTTGTTTTGCTAACTATACGAAGTGTTAGTGAATGCCCCATCCCTGGCAGTGTTCAAGGCCAGGCTGGACAGGGCTTTGAACAACCTGGTGTAGTGGAAGTTGTCCCTGCCCATGGCTGAGGGGTTGGAACTGAATGAGCTTTAAGGTCCCTTCAAACCCAAACCGTTCTATGATTCTGAGGTGTTAAACTAGACTCTGAGATTTCCTCTGCTGAAAGTGTGGAGCCATCCCATCACCCACCCTGTGAAAGCTGAGGCACTGTTTGTGCTATGATGAGCACTTATAGAGTAATTTATGGTATAACTAGCTTTTCAGTGGTGGCATGGATTAAATAGAAAAAAATTGCCTGGTGTTGTAGTGAGCTACCCTTAGACATTTTCCCTCTCTCCAGTGTGAGTGTTGTGTTCTTAGTTTAGTCCTGATGTCCAACAGGACAGTAAGTGGAAACCACAAAGCAGTATGGC